TTGAACTTGGTTATCTCACAGCAGAGCAGTTTGATGAGTGGGTAAAACCTAAGGACATGCTGGGTCCAAAGTGATTTAAATACATTTATAATGGAAATAAACATGTTGTGTAAAATAAAAACAGACTCCTTCTATTTTTAAAAAATAGATACATTTGAAAGGAAATTGCTATTGAACTTAAGTATCTGTAGCAGAGCAATTTGATCAGTGTATAAAAACCCCAGGATGTTCTAGATCCAAGATGAACTAAATAAGCATAAAATAAAGTACATCGTATAAAAGAAAACAGACTAATTTTCCTTTTATATTAATTGACTTATAGTTGAATCTCAGATTTTTGTGCCTGTGCTCATGACTTCATAAGTTTTCTGAAAGAGCCATATGAATTTTTAAAGGCTTTTAATTTTTTTGGTTGGTAGTGGTTTAAAAAAATTCCCTATAGTATCTTGTTATCTCATTCTCAAATCATGTTCTTAGCCATCTTTTATTTTCCTGTGATTTGGGGGCATAAGATGACCAAGCCCTTCCGAGGAGGGATATGTGTGTGTGTGTGTATATGTGCACATGTACACATATGTATATATGTTAGGAAATAGCATAGGTTAAGCAAATTGGGATATATATATCCTATGTGCTAATCATTCACACCCACACACCCTCTGATCTTATTTGTATTACCGTAGAAAGACTGGGTCAAGAATTACAGGACAAAGATTAAGTAAAGGGAGCAGGCATGAAGATTGGAAAGAAAGGAAGGAAGAATGTCATGAAAGTGAGTCTTGCCCATCATCCCTCTGTGCACCAGTGCCAAGATTTTTCAGCAGGAATTAATTTGAAACAGCCTCAGGGGATTTTGAATTAGCAGTTCTAGGGAGATCCAGAATAGGTTGACCTAAACCCAAAGCTAAAGGACTTATTTAAAATAGAAGCGGCCTCTATTATATAGGGAGTTGGAACAGACATTGGGTTTCTTTTTTGCTGCTTCTACGTACATAATAAATAACAGGATCATGAAGAAATTCCTGAGCTAAATTCCTATCTGTAAGTACTATTCTATCTGGTACATTTCTAAAAATGGGATACTTACCCCTGATATCATTCCTGGAAAATTAGTCACATTAACACCAGCTCCCCTGTGGAAGTTTGAAAGTAGTTGGTTTATATAGAATTTAAAAGTATAAAACAAAAGTTCTAGGGGGGGAGGAGCCAAGATGGCGGATGAGACAAGCCGCCACTCAGAAGGTCTCTGCAAAAAAGACGAATTTTAGAAGAAAGAGAGAAAAAATAAACGAGCAGAGAAACATAGATCGGGTGAGGGTCGGAAGGAAGGGT